GCACTGTTTTTCAAAAATAGTGTCTATGAATAAAATTTATTTTTAAAAAAGAGATCCTTGGATTTTCCATCAGATATTTACTTTGTATTCTTCAATCTTCAACCCAAGTGGAAGACACTCCAAAACCCATCTGCTATAGTAATTGTATCATATTTTTTTTCACTAACGGTTCAGTAGCGGGAGCAGAGACGTCTGAGCATGCGCAGAACCTTCTGCACATGCGCAGAAGGTCCTTGATGAAGTCTGGGTGGGTGGGCGGAGCATCGCGCCATCGCCACTGCCGGTTCGCCCGAATTGGTGCAAACCAGCAGCATACCACCTCTGATTTGCTGGTATCAGCATTTCTGAAGGCCAAACTTCTTCACAGGTGGAATTTCACATGACCTGAAAGAGAGACAGTTCCTCATCTCTTGGAGATGCATTTCATTTATGTTTTTAAATAGTTTTTATTAAACATTTTAATCCTTAAAAACAGAAAGAAAAACACAGCAAGAAAAAACAAAAACCAAAACGTGCATAACAATTTAAAGTAATTATACTGCCTTCTGTATCAGCATTCATGTTTAGCCTTCATAACTCTCCATTCTGCATTGCCTCCCAATTGATTTTGTCTTGTCTAATGATATAATAGCAGTAGTACTGACACTTGTAATAATATTAATCTTAGAAAAGTATGTGAATGTGCAGAGATGAACAAAATAACCATGGAACTAAAAGAAAGAGAAGAAGCGGACGTCTATAAAAATATGGAATAGAATTTATAATTGGTTAGAAAACAGAAGCAAAAACAGGAAATGAATAATGTAAATACAGTATAATGATGACATGAACTATTAATGGAGATGTATTTTAATTTTCCTAAACTTTTTTTTCCCCCGAGAGCTGCATACTTTGGGCAATTATGAATGGCTAGTGGGTGGTGCTGAAACCGGAAGCCGAGAGGGCCATACCTTTTTGCTCCTGGCACTCTTTGCAATCTTCCTTCCTGTTGCATTTTGGTTAATTGTTTCTCCCTCCGTCCATTGATGTGGGATCCTCAAGGAAATTGCCAGCCCTCTGAAGTAGGTCAGGTCAGGAAACAGACAGGACAAGAAATATGAGTGCTCTACTTTATTAATGTAAGAGGCCATAATAACAGACTCTGGAAAGCATGCCAGTGTTTCTCTTTTCCCTCCCTCTTATATACCGAAGAAAGCCAAAGCAAGACAATCTTGATTTTCCTTCTCACATTTTCTCGGTTTCCTGGCCCATGCTGATGTTTTAATATATGTCCTTGCTTATCTTCTCCAAGATGAACTTTGCGACTCAGTGGGGAAACCTAGAAATTCAAATATGGATTTGGACCACCAAAAGGCACCCCCAATATTGGTGACATTGAGCTGGCCACACCCACATTGGCCACACCCACCTGACCCTCCCCCCCAAAGGTCAAACACGCAACCCTGATACGGCCCTCAATGAAATCGAGTTTGACCCTCCTGCTCTAGAGCAGTGTTTCTCAACCTTGGCAACTTGAAGATGTCCGGACTTCAACTCCCAGAATCCCCCAGCCAGCATTCGCTGGCTGGGGAATTCT